ATCCAGCAAAACGGGACTTTCGTGTAAACACACAATTTGAGTGCGTGACGCGTGTTTGAAATTCCAAATTCAAACCAATCGTTTTTTTGCGGGACACGGCAAACGGGATATTTTATGTTCGTGTGAATAATTAATTTAAAAACACATCTTATTATTATACGGGGTTTAAAAAAAAGTATCTGCAATAAACTGTATTTCTCCATGGGCAAGAGCCCTAAAAAGTACTGTTGGCTTTTTGCCTTGAATTTTTCTACGAACCTTTTGGAATTTTGTAGGAGACCATTGACTTAGGTTACCTATATTATTATTTTCATTTGCAATAACAAATCCATTTTATCAGTTCCTAGAACGATTGCTCTAACATATTTATTTAGTTCTACAATCAAAGATAATATTGTTAGTTATCAAGGACATTGCCCCTAACAATAAATTGTTACTTAATGTGAAGATCGGATGATTGACTGTTGTTACATTTTAAATGTGAAATTATAGGCCAATAACTTATAAATTTTGTCTACCAACGGGTAGGCGGGTCACGGGACTATTCCCACCTCTCGTTCCCGTAGCCAGGATCTACAGCTTGACCGCCAATAAAATAAACAAGTGTAGGTCAAGTTTTAGGCGGGATTTTAAAGATTTTCCCCAAAGTGGGGCGGGAGGAAAATCTGTGCTAAAATTCTGGTAAAAATCTAAGCATTTTTGAATTAAATTCGCAGCTAAGTATATTTCTTATGTGCAAAATTTTTTTGTCGCTGTTTTGGTGCCCCCCAAGCAGTGATTCCCTAAGCAATTGCTTATTTAGCTTACGGGCTTACTGGGAAGGGAATCTTTAGAAAAAAAAAGGAACAGGGTAACAATATAACTCGAAACAATATAACCTTCAGACCTACCCGCTCCATCTTCTGCCGTCTCTCCAGGTACTCCAATCTTCGTTCCATAGCTAGCAGCTTGTTCTTGAAGTCGCTCGCGATGCACCGGCATAGGTTTAGGGATTCCCCGAAGATCCTCATTTTGCATTTTAATTCGTCGAAGTCGGTCCGGAATCTGAGAAGGAAATGCGAAGAATATCTTGATTCTCCCGTCCGAATATATTATATTCAATAGAATATTTGATTTAATATTAATGTAACACTCATACTTACTTATTTATAAAAATAAATAATGTAGCCCTCCCATCAAACCTTTGCAATGCCTTAACTAGGTAACTAAGTAATAAGCACACATGTATTAGTGATAAGACCTTTAATGTACACTTAGTAGGCAAATAAACAATTTGAATTTGAATTTGGTATTAAATTACGGATTCTCCATTATAAACTTTCATCCCCTTTAATTTTCGTTATTATGACAAAAAGTGGGTTGGTAGCTTGTGTTTCGGCGCTTAACGCCTACGCAAACTTTTACCACAATTCTTCCTCCGTGTAACATCAACTATAAATTAGCTTAAGTAGTTTGCATAGTTAATTATTGAAACCAACTGTCAGTCTCCTTCCGCTACGACCTTTGCAATGTAAAGAGCCATTTTTGTAATATAACTATCCTGAAGAATTTGGGCGTTTCAATAGCTCCTATCTGTATATCTAAATATACAGCTTGCCTGTTTCCAGGGCCCAATCCACTTTATACCAAGATTACCAAGAAGTTCAGTGGCGTAGGCGTAGACAGGCCCTGTATCAAAATTTGTTAGGGGCCCCATCTAAAAAGGTCATTAGATCAAGGTGACCCTTTTAATTAAAAGCCGAGCCTACTCTTCCTATCCAAAAAATAATCATCTGTATTTTAGGGGCCCCGTATCATTGACACGGATGCGGTAAGGACTTACTTAGCTACGCCCCTGACTCCCTGAGTGTTAGCGTTGTTAGCTAGGCGTGAAAAAGTAGGAGACAGAGTTACATTACATTATGATATTAAAGAAGGTATGAGGGTAGAAGAGACTGAAGCCAAATCCTTAACTTGCTAATTGAGGGTACCTCATAAAGGTAGGGTCAGAGGAAGGCGCTGGCTGGATGCAGGCCGCCACCAACCGGTCATTGTGGAAATCATTGGGGGAGGATTATGTTCAGCAGTGGATGACGTCCTATGGCTGAAATGATGACGATATTATTATGCTTGTACAGTGGGTACCAAAGAGATTGTGTAGCTTGGTCGGTACGTTTCTTCTCACCTGGTTATAGAAGAAGACAGCGAAGTGAAAGACACAGAAGTTGAAGTATCAGAAGTGAGCGGAGACATGTTGGAACGGATCCTCGCATGCTCCTGATCAGTCTGCAGGCTCCCCCACTGATCATCACTGCTAGATGATGGAGTATAGATGTGAATCTTTGCTTTAGGGTTGAATGTGTTGTTGTGCCTCTTCATTTTGAGTTTTTATGGTCACAAAAGAGTTGAATTAAAGAAGAAACGCATAAAAATCTTGACAGAGGATTTTGAGTGACAGACATAGCAGCTGACGTAGTATGTTTTTAAAATTGCTGTAGATTAATAAACCTTGGCTTTCGTCCATTTATAAAAGGTTGTATAAAGTAATAAAAGCATACAAATTGTAAGAAGTCAATAAATAAGCTTGTATGAAACTTGTGTGCAAATCTTTGGTCTTCTAAGTCAGCGCCATCTAGTTGGTCTATAAAGTGTTACTAAAGCATGCTTTAATAATACTTCCGCTATTCACCGCTAGATGGTGTTAAATAGGATAGAACTATTATTACTTCTTGCCGCTAGATGGTGCTGCTAGTAATAATTTTATAATTTAATCTTGTATTTGTCTAAATTTTCACACGCATGGTTCCCAAATATTTGGTGGCCTTCATTTTTGGTTAAATATTAATTATAACAGATTGATGATTAATGTATGTGCAGTTTCCTGGAAAGATGAACGGCCTTCACTCACACGTCAGAGTTTAATATTATTCCATTAATATAGAAAACTGCTAATTTGGTTACATATTTTTACCCGGTTTATGTGATTCATATTAAATTCCACGTAATACTGAATAACTGCGTATTATGTAACCTTAGTTTTTAAACATTCCTGGGTCGATGACCAGTAATAGGTATTTTTTTAAAATATTGCATAATGATATAGTGCTTGGGTTTTTGAATCACTAAGTAGAATTTTATTTGTTATTCTAAAACTAGCTGACCCCTGTACCGCCTATCTATACAGGGTGTTAGGTAAATGGGTATATGAGCCGACACTAGCCTATGTTAACATGGGCATACATATAAATGGTATGGTGAAGTCAGAAAATTGATATCTTCATTTTAATTATTTAAATTTTCATACAAATCGGATTTTTTAAAAATTATTTTGTATGAAAAAAAAAATAAAAAAAAATGATATCAAACTTCTGACTATTTATTCGGCTCATATACCCATTTACCTAACACCCTGTATATGTCTCATCAGAAGTAATGTAGGATTCTAATAGTTAGTCAAAGAATGTTTTAATTTGGTCCAATTGTTTCTGAGCCTAATCAATACAAACCAACAATTTAAACAAAAAAAAAAATCCCTATAAAATACCTATTTATGTGGACGAAGCTAGTGGTTGAAAAATAATGATTTTCAGGCTTTAAGTTTTCAATTTATTTCTCAATCATTTGTTGTTCTTTAGTATAATATCATATTATTTTATAATGTATTGGGATTCCAAAATAATACAAACAGTCTATATGTAAAATACCTCCATTNCCATGTTAACATGGGCATATAAATGGTATGGTGAAGTCAGAAAATTGATATCTTCATTTTAATTTTCATATAAATCGGATTTTATAAAATGTATTTTGTATGAAAATTTAAAAAAATAAAATGATGATATCAAATTTCTGACTTCACCATACCATTTATATGCCCATGTTAAAATGGGCTAGTGTCGGCTCATATACCCATTTACCTAACACCCTGTAGATGTCTCATTAGAAGTAATGTAGGATTATATTAGTTAGTCAAATAATGTTTTAATTTGGTCCAATTGTTTCTGAGCCTAATCAATACAAACCAACAATTTAAACAAAAAAAAAAACCTATAAAATACCTATTTATGTGGACGAAGCCAGTTGAAAAATAATGATTTTCAGGCTTTAAGTTTGCAATTTCTTTCTCATTAATTTGTTGTTCTTTAGTATAATATAATATTTTATAATGTAATGGGATTCCAAAATAATACCACCAGTTTATATGTAAAATACCTCCATTTTATTTCAGTTACTTTATTACTAAATGTAACAATCAAGTGTATACAATACAATATATTGAATTTGTTTAATATAAAAGAACTTAAAGTAATTATTGCTACAGCCGATCTATTAGATGGTCAACCACATTGGTAGTTTAAACCAATACGGTCAAAAACCTAATTTATGATTAAAATTTTTACTTATTAACATTCTGAAAATAATAATAACTAAAAATACGCAGGCCTCTTGCCTTCTGAATCAATTTATGAAACTTTTGTGGTCAAAGAAGATCGTTTTAATGAAGTATAACTTAGTGATCTCTTTAAAACACTAGATTCATATTTTAGTTTGATCAAAACCTGTTAGCATTTGATTCAATAGGGCCTACATTTTCAGTGGGTGTTACTGAAGAGGGAAAAATACTTGACTTATCTTATAATAATACAATATCGCGTGAAAAGCATAAGTAAACATCGAATACAACAAAAATGGCAGTTTTTAGATACAAAAAATACATAATAGTACATAATGCAATACTTTTATTATAATTAATAATACAATAAGAGAACTAGATTCGTTGGATAATCATATAGCCTACCTATTTACAGAAAATTTTATTTTATTATCGTATAAATAAAATAATTTTGACTCGGGTTTTTCGTTCGACTTTTTTAGTGATAGCACCGTACAGTAAGTATATTATGGTAACTCGATAGGAACTCATATAGGTTTGTACTGTGAACAAATTGGGGATAGATTTATTTATGGCACTTATCACTCCGAAATCTTGTTACCAATTTAAAATTTAGATTATCACCTTCTCATTTCTTGCCCTTTTCAAGGCACTTACATTGAGCATTGTGTTTGTGAAGACCGGCTGCCTCACCGAAGGAAGGGTTGAACGTCACTCCTGGAGCGACATATTGAGGATTGGTTCCACTGCCAGAGGTTTCATATGTGATAATCTGGGGCTTAGTGGTGTAAGTCACAATTTTGGGCTTAGTTGTAAACGTGAAGTATTCAGGTTTAGTCGTGAAGGTGACGATTTCGGGCTTGGTAGTGAAAGTCACAATTTCGGGTTTCGTTGTGTAGGTGATGATTTTAGGCTCGGTCTGGAAGACCTTCTTCTCGGAGTAAGTGGCGCTGAAGCTGTTAGAGATAGGTCCCTTAATTTCCGATTGCAATAAACCACCGTTGGCGCTTCCTTCAGTGAATTTCGAGCTGGAGCCGAACTGGCTGAAGCCGAACTGGCCTGTGCCGAATCCGCCTTTAATGGCTGAGCCTTCGAAGCCTGCGCCGGATCCGAAACCGGCTCCGTTGCCGAATCCTGATCCGGATATTCCAGATCCGAAACCTGCTCCTGATGATCCGGTGGTCGCTGAGGCGGTGGCCGAAGATCCTTGGAATGCTCCAGCAATCAATCCACCAGTTTGTTCCTGGAAACCGGCACCTTTAACACCACCCTTGA